TGATTTTAAATATATGGACAGATTAAGTTTCACGTCAAAAAAAAAACAAGAGTTTTTAATATCTGCCGATTCTAGATTTTGAAATCTCTCACTTTGTTATAGATTCAGCATTGATCAGGTAAAAGGTTTTTTTCCTCAGTTTATTTCTTCTGAATGTGAGTTTTGGTTTTGTTGTTTTTACTTTGAAACATTCTCCACACTGAGTATCTTGATATTTTCTCGATGATGATTAAATCATCCACAGACATTGATGGTTCCCAGAGGATGAATCCTCTTTGTCGATCCCCTGACTTTTGCGCTAATCTTTGGCAGCGCAGCGTGTAAACCGGCTGCTGCTCCGTTTCCTCATATTGTTTATATTTCTGTGTTTCGGAGCACAAACTGCTGACGGCGTCTCTGCAGCCTCGATGTGTCTTCAGGGACAGTCGAGTGTAAAAGTCTGCTGCACTGCACACGGCGGTGAAATATCATCGGGCTGCAGTTACACTCCACACACACTGTGTAAAAAAAGAAAAACAACACAGCGCTGAGAGCTCGTCGGACACTTTGGTTTTCTCACGTTGTTCTTGGTAAAAGTCTTTGGGAACTTTCTTGGTTCCATTTGTTTTTAACGTTCTCCTCTTCGTTCTTTGTTTCTCCACAGTTCCTACATCGGTCGCTGGGGCAACCCGCTGTTCTCAGTCCATGACAACCTGAGCCCGGTGGTTACCGTGGAGCAGAACTTCGACAGGTCAGCAGATCAAATTGATTGATTGATTGATTTGATGTGACAGCGTAAAACAAAACAAGTAATTTTTGATTGATTGGTTCTTTTGCTCTGTTGGGATTTGACTGACAGCTTGCTGATCCCGCCCAGCCACCCCAGCAGGAAACGAGGGGACAACTACTACCTGAACAGGTGAGTGACAAGTTGACTACGAATCAAACTCACCAGCACAACATGGCAGTGTTCCTATCCTCCATCTTGTTTCTGCTCAAGAAAAGTAAACTGTGTGTGTGTGTGTGCTAGAAAAATGATGCTTCGCGCTCACACCTCCGCCCACCAGAGGGAGCTGGTGAAGTCCGGTCTTGATGCGTTCCTATTGGCTGGAGACGTGTACAGACGTGACGAGATCGACGTCAGTCATTATCCCGTCTTCCACCAGATGGAGGGAGTCCGCCTCTTCTCCAACCACGAGGTGCGACCAGCGAACACGTGATGATTACCTGTAAAACTTTCTGTTCAGTTCATGTTGAGGCTTCTATAAAAGAAAACGTTGTTAATGTCACGCCGCCGTTCTTCAGGAACCGTTTCAGTCTTGAAGCAAACTTTCATCGTGTTTGTGAGTTTCTGATGTGTCCCGTGTCTCCAGCTGTTCTCGAAGGTGCAGAACGGCGAGGAGCTTTCTCTGCTGGAGCGCGGCGGCAGGCGGACGCCGCAGAAACAGGAAACGCACACGCTGGAGGCCGTGAAGCTGGTGGAGTTCGACCTGAAACAAACGCTGACGAGACTCGTCACTCACCTGTTCGGAGAAGGTGAGACCTACATCCGACCTGCAGGGGGAGACAGAGGACACACTTTCATTTCACCATGATTCTCTATGTTTCACTCCTCGTTATCGTCCTTCTTCCTCCTTCACCCACTACAACTGATACTTCTTCATCTATCTTCACTTCTTCTCATCCTCCTCTTTGACCTCACCTTCCTTCGCTCCTTATCATCCTCATCCTCTCTTTTCTCCTCCTCCTCTCAGATGTGGACATCAGGTGGGTCGACTGTTACTTCCCCTTCACTCATCCCTCCTTTGAGATGGAGGTGCATTTCCAGGGCGACTGGATGGAGGTTCTGGGCTGTGGAGTGATGGAGCAGGAGCTGCTGAACTCTGGTCAGGACACACACACACACACACACACACACACACACACACACACACACACACACACAC